GACAGGTTTAAATCTTAATTTTGCCACCATAACAACAAATTTACAGTTGTTTTTAGTTTTTAATCATACATTAAATGTATGATTTGTAATAAACAAAGACCGGATTTAAGGCAAAATGCCTTTTTGTTTCTATTTTAGGAATTTGTTTATGACCTTGAAATTAATCCTAAACTTAATAAAGCGTTTGACACCCCTTTGTTTTTGCATAAAAGCCTAAAATGGCGAAATTTTGATTTATTGTCCTAAAAGGACATTTTTATGAGCCTAAACTAGTCTCCTTTAATTTTTCAGTAAAAAATATATTTTTCATGCTCTCATTTCGCCTAGACGCCCTTGGCGAGTACGAGGACCACAAATTACAAGACTAGTGAAAACCTAATAAAAAAAGTAATTGTGGTTTTGCTATCTTAATATTTATTATAAATAATTATTGGTAATATTACGTTTGTAAAATAATAGTTGAAAATTAATATTTACTTTGTTTTCATAGGTTTTACTGTATTACGTATATGGTAATTTCAGACATTTTAACAGTTTTTAGTAATATAACTTGTCGCTATATAAATACGGTCTTTCAAAGCATATTTTTTATTTACTTCAAAAAAAAATTTTTTGAGCGTTTTTTATTATTAAATAAAAGCCCTGGCTTTAAGGATATTTTCTCGACTATTTCCCTCGTCTTAATTTCCACCAATCACAAACGCGCAATTTTGAATTACAAATGGTTTCTAGGTGAAAAAACTGTGTGACAGCACTTGTCAGCAGTTTTTTCGAGTTTACCCGCGGCAAAACCATTCGGGCATCTAATTTTTCCTGTGAAAAAAATCAAAAAAACACAATGCTAAGTAATATTTTTTAACAAAATGCATTCGGGCAGGTGCAAAAATCCTCCTCTTCGACTCGGATTTTTGTTGCCACCAGCACTCATGCTTTTTGTTAAAATATTACTTAGCAACGTGTTTTTTCGATTTTTTTCGGAAAAATTAGATGCCCTTATGATATTACTTACGAAAAAACCCCTGAACACGTAAACTGAGATGTAAGTTAAAGTATTTTTATCCAAAATTTTATAAAGATTGGTAAAGGCGTTTTAGAGTTGGATTTTTTTTACTTGTTATGCGTTAATTTGTACATATTAGGGTGTCCGTTATTTGGGCGATGTGCGAATTTTTTTGCTCGCACCCCCCAAAAAGTTGTAGTTTGGGAAAAAAAAATTTTTGGTAATTTTTTTAGATTTTTATTTTTTAATTAACCCGTGCCGCAAGAGGGTTAAAGATTTAATTATTGTTAAAATATGATTAAATTTTGCCTTTCACTATAGGCTTACCACTCCACGATTTTTCAATGAAAAAAGTCTGTCGAGTGGTTTTCTTATAGTTCAAACACCGCTGAACCCGAATCTGAAATTCGTTTTTTTTTTCATTAATCGTTTTTTTAGAATAGCCTGTGTCGGGAGTAGGTAAAATCGCAAATCGGATGAAAAATGGGATTAGGCTCTTTTCACATTCAAAGTCCTGTAACGTCGCCAGTTTTCAATAAAAAAATCTGAAAATTGGTATACTTATGGTTTTGACATCGCTGAACTCGAATCTGACATTTTCATTGATGACAGCTGTCAAAATAGCTGTCAAAAATCCCAAAAAAACGGTTTTTTATTAAAAATGCCCATTTTATGGTTATTTCATGCGCTGAATCTGAATTTGATGCACTTTGAATTATTTATTTTCATAAAACCGAAATCCAAATCACTCAATAAAATGTACAAATGATTGAACTGTCAAATTTCAAGTTCCAAACATAATTTTACAGGGGCAAATGGGCATTTTTAATAAAAAATCGTTTTTGGGATTTTTGACAGCTATTTTGACAGCTGTCATCAATGAAAATGTCAGATTCGAGTTCAGCGATGTCAAAACCATAAGTATACCAATTTTCAGATTTTTTTATTGAAAACTGGCGACGTTACAGGACTTTGAATGTGAAAAGAGCCTAATCCCATTTTTCATCCGATTTGCGATTTTACCTACTCCCGACACAGGCTATTCTAAAAAAACGATTAATGAAAAAAAAACGAATTTCAGATTCGGGTTCAGCGGTGTTTGAACTATAAGAAAACCACTCGACAGACTTTTTTCATTGAAAAATCGTGGAGTGGTAAGCCTATAGTGAAAGGCAAAATTTAATCATATTTTAACAATAATTAAATCTTTAACCCTCTTGCGGCACGGGTTAATTAAAAAAAAAAAATCTAAAAAAATTACCAAAAATTTTTTTTTCCCAAACTACAACTTTTTGGGGGGTGCGAGCAAAAAAATTCGCACATCGCCCAAATAACGGACACCCTAGTACATATGTATTTTTTGATTTATTTTTATTGATAGGACCTGAATACATGTTATGTTTAATCGTGTTATTTTTATTTCATATCGCCTATTTTAGGCACTTTCGGCCTAAAACGGCCTAAAATGTAGGTTTTTATTGCCTATTTATGTGGGGGCCTAAAATACGGTCTTTTGTAATAAAGTATTAATTTGGTTTATTAAAATACAACCTGTTATTTTTACCACATTGGCACCGAGGAATTTTCTGTCACGGCCTATAGTATATATACTATAGGCCGTGACAGCAAATTCAGCGGTATAATAAATAACAATATACTGTTATTTATTTATCAAACTCTTCAAATACTTAAAAATTAAAGATTTAGTTAGGAACTTAAACTCTCAAGTGATCCTATCATTGTGCAAGTCGAAGGTGAGAAAGCTATCACTCTCCTTACAAGCATAATTATCATGGTATTTTAAGTTCTTTGATTATTGCGAGCCGGCAGCTGCTGCAGCATGCTGTCTTGTTAATTTCGGACTCTCATTGGCCAATTACTTACACTTCATAATTTGACAATTTAAAGTCTAAAATTAAATGCGTAAAATTAATTTAAAAAATACCGCGGTAGGTCCAAATAATATACAGGGACAACAGGACAACATATTTACACATTGATAAAACAAAATTTATAACGTTTAGCTTGACAAATGCAGGACAACCTAAGAAAGAAAATTTTCAAATTCACTCCAACAATTGTTTAGATAAATGTAAATGCCCTTACATTCTTAAAGTAAACAAAATTAAATATTTAGGCCTAATTATAGATCAAAATCTAAAATGGAAAGCACACATTGAAAACCTCATACTAAGACTAAGGAGGCTGTTTTCCCAATTTTACACACTGAGGTCTTTTTTAAATCATAAAAATCTAATTCTTTGTTACTATGCAATGGTGGAGTCCTTAATAAGATACTGCATAATAGCTTGGGGGAATGCGTTAGATACTACTTTAAAAGGGCTTGAAGTAACTCAAAATATAATTCTCAAAATAATTTATTTTAAAAACCGCTATCATCCTTCGGAGTCACTGTACACGGAACAACTTTGTATTAAAAAAATCTTTGTGTTTCAAGTGTGTTTGTGGATGTTTGAGTCTATTGATAATTTTGACATTCCCAAGCATAATTATTCCACCAGGATTTTGGAAAAAGATGTTGTCAATTTACCTATATTTTATTTTTCAGCCTTACAAAAAGGTATATTTTATTATGGTCCCAAATGGTATAATATTATACCAAAAAAAATTAAAAATTTATCAAAAAATCTACGTAAAGCCGATTTAAAAACGTTTATACAAAAATCTGATCTGAATATATTCTACAAGTTTCTGAGGTAATAAATAATAAATAGTTTTGTATATGTATATAGGTACATATTTTATAATCCTTTAATTTTATTTAATACGTGACTGTCACTTTCTCCACGCCAATGTCATCGAACGAAGTGTTTTGCTTGTTTTGTTTACCTTTTTTATATATAAATATTATTGTATTACAAATATTTAAAATTTAATTGAAATAAATATAGCACTGTATAGTAAAAACATAATTTTAGTTCATCACACAAGAATGTATTTATAATTTTTTCCATTTATTATAATCTGCAGCACAAATCCTTTTGGATTTAGGCAGAATCAAACTTAAAATATAATTTAACTTTATAAAATAAGAATGTACAATAAAAAATGTAAAAAAAATGTAATTATGATGATGATAAATAAATAAATAAATTAATTAATTTCATCACTTTAACTTCAACCCCTTAGCGGGGGCGGCATTTACCCTTATTTTTTCAAATAGGAAGGGGTATGTTGTGATAAATCTTTTAAAAGGGCATTACATTTTTACATTACATTTGAGCTACGTGTCGCCTAGCATGGTATTACGAACATTTTACTGGACTTATTTACAAAGTTCGTAAAGCAAAAAAATTGTTGATATATTATTTTTAAACTGACAAATATCAGTCGAAAACTCGACTTTATCTTCAGTAAAGTAGTTGATGTGGATAATTCGTTATTTCTATGGTTTTATTTTCTTTCGATTCGATAAAAATGGTTTATTCTATTGCGTAGTGAGGAAATTATTACATTGTATTTTATAAACAATCAATGTGCAAGAGTAACTGCAACTGCGTTTAATGCAAATAGTACATCATGATTACATCCTAGAATTAATAGCAAAATTCCGGCAAACTGGTTCAGTGGCAAATAAAAAACAAATATAGAAAATCCGGTGAAAAATGAGGCAGTAGAAGTAGCTGTTCTGGGAGAAATTCTTTGGACCCTACATTAGGTACCAGAAGACTTTCTGATGTAACGGGAGTTTCGCGGGCCACCGTACAGAGGATTGCATGATAATGACCGCCGTTCACAATTTTGTGAAATAATGTCCGAAATATTATAAATACTCCCAACTACCTTTTTAATGTTTACTTCTCAGACGAATGTTCATTTTTTCTCAATAGCATTGTCAATCGTCATAATTTTCGTTATTGGTCTGACACGAACCCATGAGGTTCATACTCAACATCCTTAAAAATTAAACATTGTGGCTGGTATTTTTGGTGATCACATAATTGGACCATTTTTCTTACCGGCAAATAGAGCTACTTACTTCAACTTGTAGGAGAATGTCCTTAAAAAAGTTCTTAAAAACTGCAGCTTTTCTTCCTTTAACCAGTTCTCACCGTAGTGTGCTTCTAATAGTTTTTTGATATCTGCTACTTTCTTTGACTTAACAGGCACTCCTTTTTCCATATCAGAAACATGCATCTGCGTACATCGTTGTCCGCGTTTAAAAACGGACTTTGCCTCTCCCAAATTCATTGTGTAGTTTACTTCTCCTGTTACTGTTATGATTTTAGTATTTGACTTTTTAATAAAAAATCTTTTAGCAGTAAAAAATTTAAAGTGCCAGGCGCTAACTCCTTTTAAATATGTTTTTGCAGCGTCCTTCCATTTTTTCACTCCACAATCTTCTAATTGTATGAGTTTTCTTAGTTTTTTTTCTATAACTCCAAATACCTTATGGCTTTCCATCCCGCGGGTGACTTTAACCCTTTTATGAAAAATCTTTTCGCGCTCGATAAAATTAACATTTATAATTTGTTGGTCTAAACCTGTCAATTGAGCGATTCTATTGAGTTTATATTACAGGAAAATCAGTGTTTTAAAGAAAGAAATGGGATTTATTACACTTTAAAATTGTATATATATCGCATCAGTGTAAAACTCTTAGAAATACACGCGTTACAATTTCTATATTATGCGCAATCCTTTGGTTAACTATAGGTCGATTTTTTATTTTTTTATTGGTAATCCCTTGCAATACCTATATGTCGCTGCTAACATGTGTCTAATAAAAGTAAAATAAAATATTGAGTTAATTTTATACGGAAAATACACTGTGAGACAAAGTTACCGGCAACCAGGGGGTAACTTTGCACACTCAGTTTTTAATTTTTATTTTTGAAACTCAGCCCTATGTAATATTAAAATATAATTATTATGAAAGAGCAACTCAAGACTCAAATTTTGGTATATACAAAAATTTTAAGCTTAAGTTTGAAAGTGAGCTAAAGCCACCCGTGTTTACGTTACCCTATCAGAGGGTAAAAACGAGTGCCCTCTTACGGGGAATACTAGTTCAATTTCTTTAATATTTGGGGGAGCAGAATTAGCCAAAAAGTATATACACATGCAAATCATGATTGAATTTCGGTTCTGCCATCCACAACCATCAGCACAAAGTCTTATTTTTGTGTATAAAGACAAATCGTTTGAATTTAATAAGTGAAAAACAGCAGAAGAAATCTCATCTGCCCCCTTGTTATATTTTTGCTCCATCCAAGTATAATAAATATATTTTCTGGTATGTGAGGAACCCTTTACTGCTGTAAAATTATACGTGTAAAGCTGGCGACTGTAGTATGCAATTTGATCTTAAACTTTCGGATTTACAAGATTTTTTTGGCAATCAAATGAAAAAGTTATCATCTCCGGAAGTTCTTCACGTAATTTGTCAAAGAATGCCTTGCTCTTTTCTATTTGGATTACTGCACGGTGTACCTCTGAACATTTAAGCTTCTCAATAAAGGATTTAACCGCTTCTCGTCGTTCAATATAAATTTTCCTCGGTTTAGCTCCTCCACCTCTTTCCATGGGAAGCAACCCTGTATATAAAAAATTGCGTCCAATCCTTTGAACACGATCTTTCGAAATATTAAGAATATTTACAAAAGCTTTTTTGGCAAACTTGGGTCTTAAAATCTTTGGTACCTATCCTTTATTTTTACGTAATAGTTTATAGCAACTCCTTTTCGAGATAGTCTTGTTTTTACCGCTTTGTCTCTCCTAGGTAAGTGTACACTGATAAATTTAAGAATAAACTGGTCCTGATTAATTTTATTTTTCAGCAAGTAAAAATTTGCGAAAAAATTTTGAATGTCGCACATTTTTAAATTATTACACCATGTTTTATTGCTTTTGTGACTGCAGTTGGGAAATTGAGGTGGTTGAGATGCTCTATGCCTGAAATAAACAGTACTTTTAGCTTATATTTGTATCATAAACAGAGCAAAGAGTCGGTAATGTTGATAGAAATAAACAATAATATTACCGATACTAGAGTCTACTAAGACGTTTATAGAGTTTCAGTCGTGGAATGGTCACGTGATCAAATTTTGTAACGCTCATAGGCTTAATTGTATAAGCCGAGTTCTGACATGATATAACCAAGTAAGGCAATTTTTGGAATGATAGTCAATTTGTAAATGAATTTTAAATGAAATAAGGTGAGTTTTAGAATATTATAACCTTTTCAGGGTATAGGGCGTTACATGTTAAATGTACAGACACCACTAACTCATTTTTATTAAACAGTGGATAAGCCGAGTTTTGCAATTGACCTCCTCATATAAAGTTCATGTTTTTTATCTGGACCGCGGCAACATTGCCAATTTAGGTTGGTAAATACGGAACCAAAATTGGTTGCATTAATTTAAACAAACTAAATGTAATTATAATGTAATTGTGGTTATGTTTAAATTATTGTAGTTTATATTGAACGGTTGAGTCAGTTGAGTCAAGTTGAGTTGTCCAAATTCTTAGTTAAAAATGCAATTAATTTGGCTTTGGTGGTACGTAGATGGGTAAAATTAAATAAAAAAAGTAGTTAAATATAGGTGGGTACGAACCAGGAGAGACCAACTATTCCTAGCGGATAATAATCTTTGCTTTGAAAAGAATGTAAATAAAAGAAATTCAAATTGTATTTGAACACACATGAATGTTGTCCAATCATTGGACCCCAATGGTGAATGGGTATTTTATTAAAGCCACTGGACGTTAATACTTGTAGTGGCTTAATAATTAATATCTTTTTCAAATCAAATGGATGCTATTTTCAAAGACAAAAAAATTAACTACTAGATTTTTCACAAAAAGGTTGAACCTAATAGCAAATAATTTTTATTTTTTGTTTTTTTATTTCCCCCTTGTTTTTTTAAATTTCAAAAACCAAAAATCTGCTTAGGTGAAAATAATGTGTGATTTAATATTTATAAAACCAAAAACGTTATCTACATTTAACTCCAAAAATGTCCATAAGGCGATGTACTTTTTCTGCCATTTGGCATAACTTCATCGAAATAAAGTTTTGCCCTTAAAAGTTCTTATACTTTAGAATCTGATATTATTTTCGGCATAGTTATAACTAAAAGATATATATTTTTATATCGATATTATATAATAATTAACAAGTAAATTATCAATAATAAATATTACTGAAAATTCCACACCTGTAATTTTTAACCAATCAAAACGTGTATTTTTGATAGATCACCATGGCAACGGTTGAATTTTAGTGGAAATTTTTTCCTCGTGGGTACCCAACAGCGAATTATACTGGAAATTTTTTGACGTTTATAATGACAGAATATTTTTTTGACAATCTGGTTTTTATTTGTTTACATGATAATTTTGATACATTTCCATTACAAAGTTTAGATGTTTTCTATATTCGTTGGACACCTCCTTTCTTCTTAATGGCGAAAATGCAGAACTTGAAATAAATTAAATGTCTATTATATAAATAAATTAAATGTCTATTATATAATATTTAGACACTATTCTATTCACCTTTTTTTCCATTTAGCACTTTGAGTTTTGAATAGTTAAGATGCAAATATTCATGAACAATTCAAAACAAATTTTCTTTCTTCAAGTAGGAGCCACAATCCTCTAATAATGCGGGTAAATAAGTCATTGCACGATGATTGATCATTACAGCAGACAATTTCACATTTTTTTACGTCGTGCCGCTTGACAGCTTCAAAACTGAAATAACTTTTAGGTTGGGGTTGACTTAGTTGCCATGGTAACTAAATAATCAAATAGAGGTCAAGTTAAATCAAAAAATAAATTTTAATTATTTAAACACAATTTGGTGTGGAATTTTCTTACCGAATACCACACGAGGTCAAATTAAATCCGGAAATTTTTTCTCCCTCATGAATATTTTTAGAAAATTATCCCTCGTCTTCGACTCGGGATAATTTTCAAAATATTCATGAGCTCGAAAAAATTTCCGGAAATAATTTGACCTCTAGTGGTATTACTAGTGAAAATTCCACATCTGTAATTTTTAACCAATCAAAACGTGTATTTTTGATAGATCACCATGGCAACGGTTGAATTTTAGTGGAAATTTTTTCCTCGTGGGTACCCAACAGCGAATTATACTGGAAATTTTTTGACGTTTATAATGACAGAATATTTTTTTGACAATCTGGTTTTTATTTGTTTACATGATAATTTTGATACATTTCCATTACAAAGTTTAGATGTTTTCTATATTCGTTGGACACCTCCTTTCTTCTTAATGGCGAAAATGCAGGACTTAAAATAAATTAAATGTCTATGTCTAATGAAATATATATAATATTTAGACACTATTCTATTCACCTTTTTTTCCATTTAGCACTTTGAGTTTAGAATAGTTAAGATGCAAATATTCGTGAACAATTCAAAACAAATTTTCTTTCTTCAAGTAGGAGCCACAATCCTCTAATAATGCGGGTAAATAAGTCATTGCACGATGATTGATCATTACAGCAGACAATTTCACATTTTTTTACGTCGTGCCGCTTGACAGCTTCAAAACTGAAATAACTTTTAGGTTGGGGTTGACTTAGTTGCCATGGTAACTAAATAATCAAGTCGAGGTCAAGTTAAATCAAAAAATAAATTTTAATTATTTAAACACAATTTGGTGTGGAATTTTCTTACCGAATACCACACGAGGTCAAATTAAATCCGGAAATTTTTTAACCTCTAGTGGTATTACTAGTGACAATTTGACAGTGTCAGAGTATTTAATTAAGACCTTCAGCAGAAGTACCATTTTTTAAATACAAAATCAAACTGGCATAAGCTACCAACTTAATAAAAAAAACACAATTCCAAATAAATAAAATGAACTGTAGTTTTGAAGGACGGAATTTAAAAAAATTGAAATAGGAAATTAAAACGTTGAATTTTCGGTTTATAATTATTAAAATATGTATTTAGTTTAATAATTTTAAACAATACATTTTAAAACATAACGTGTACAAAATAAAATTTTAATAAGAGTTTAATTAAAAGTATAAATTTTATTTGAATTAAGCGATCGACTATTAATTAATATTAAGTATAAAACGATTTTAAAATATAAGTACATACTTAATACCTAAGTAACAATATAATGAAACAATAAGGGTTATAGAACCAAATAAAACTAAACAAAATATTTTAAAAAAGCATTCGATGACCCAATCGTTGTTCTT